AGGACGGCAGTGTGGAGGGCGGCAGGACGGCAGTGTGGAGGGCGGCAGGACGGAGTGCGGAGCGGGAGGGCGGCAGGACGGAGTGCGGAGCGGGAGGGCGGCAGGACGGAGTGCGGAGCGGGAGGGCGGCAGGACGGAGTGCGGAGCGGGAGGGCGGCAGGACGGAGTGCGGAGCGGCAGGGCGGCAGGACGGAGGAGTATGACATTGTTATGCTGGTCAGGCAGCTGTATAGATGGGAAGTGTCGGGTGGAATCCATTGGGGGATATGGGACCTGGAAGCCTCGTCTGTCTCCATGTGATCCCGCTGGCCACGCCTTCCCTGCGCTGCACAGATCTGGTTGGATGGAAGTCCTCGGAGTCGTCTATGGGGGCTGAAGTCTGTAATGTAGACTCGGCATAATGGCGCAGGGACTAGAAGGATACACAGGAGCCCCGAGAATCTGTCCACACCTCATAAGGATCAGCATGGAGGCGAGTCATATATATCACCAAGCTGCTAATTGATCTTCTTGGAGTTCCCCTTTAAGACCGCCATAGATGTTAGAGAGCGGCTTCTGGCACAGTGTGACCTCCCATCCCCCCTGTTCAGTGCGGCTGGAGATGAGAGGGGCACCGCCGACTGCTCAGGTACCTCATAGACATTAGATTGTCCTGACCCGGGAGCGTCACTGAGCTCTCTGACCTCCAGAAGCTCGCAGCGTCTGGAGGTCAGAGAGAGCGATGTGTGTACTTCCCCTGCCACTCGCCCTCCCCACCACCCAATGGAAGCAATCCTCCCGTCCGTGTGTCAGAGCATCGCCCCCTGGTGGTGAGGAAGCATTGTGGCTGGGAAGGTACGGGCTGGGCTGTGTGGGGCCCCGTGTTGCCATGGATGGGGAACTGATTGATTTTCTCTCATTCAGCCATCAGGACCCGTGTGTACCTATACAGTGCACTTAGCCCCGCCCCCCCGGATTGAAGAATAACTCCGACCCTCCGGCTGTGCTGTAACTACAACTCCCAACTTGGCTCTGAGAGAGTCATGCCTGTAACTATCAGTGTAGCAATGCCTCATGGGACTTATGACACTTAGTGGCTCTTGCTGTACTGGAAGGAAGCCATGTGTAGCCGCCTCTTCAGACGTTCCGCCTCCAACTCTCGGAAGAAAGCGTCTTCATCGGCCCGTGTGATCATCTCCTGCAGCTCCCGGATCTCCTTCTCCATCTTCAGCCGCAATTCCTTCTTTATCTTGTGTAGATTCTGGAAAAGGGACGCTGGTTGTTATTAAAGAGAACCTGTCACCAGAGCGGTGAGGAGCAGGTAAGGACTGCACTCCCTTCACACTCGTACTATGGCGGCGGCGCTTCTTTCCTTCCGCCATTGCTGCAAGACGCAACTGACGCCTACAGAGGCCGGACAGGAAGGGGACCCAGTGCAATGCGTGTGCCTTTCATTCTAAATGGCGCCCCGGCACACAATGCACATGCGTTACAAGTTACAACGCACCACAACCCAGGGTGAGGTTTTCAGTGTGTGATGAGAAACATTCCACAAAACACCATTGTTGCTGCATCGGAGCCCACTCCGAATATGCTGAGAACACACAATACAGGATAAAGCTCCTCCTGGCACACGTCTTATCACAGCGCAGTATAGTGTGTGCGGCCATCAACACGCTTCTCAATGTATGGAGCCAAAGACCATCCGTGCCAC